GTGGCGGCGGTGTACGCCCGCATTGCGCCCTGTCCCTTGCGCGGCACCCACCGGCGCAGTGCATCGCCAACAACAGCAGGAGCAGCGCCAGTGGGAGAAACGGTGCAAGACAGCGTGGCCGGCGCATGGCTTGAGAAACGTGTGTGCGTGTTAGTTAGTGTGGAATAAATGTATTTGTATAGAAGCAAGTGCTTTGTATGCAGGGTGAGAAAATAAAAACACAAGGAAATGTTTTGGTGAAAATGTATGCCATGCAGCTGCCGATAGCAACTAATCATGGCAGCAGGTATACGCACTACAGAAATTTCGTGTGTATTGCACCCTACGTTGTGAGTGTATGTTTTTTTTTTCGACGAAGCAGCATAAATGCTAATTAGGTGCTTGGGGAACTTGTATCGTTGTTGCATATGTTCCGTATTCGCCGCATCTTTCCTCCAGGCAACGTTTTTCTGTTTTAGTTTTGTTTCTCTGTAGTTCTTTTGATGGTGTTATGATATTCGCGCGACTGGTTACTTAGCAACTGCCATGTGCATAATGTCGGCCGCGGTCGGAGGGCCATCGGACAGTGCGCTCTCTCTCCCTCAGCAGCTCACAGGAAGAGGCATCTTCACACTTCGTTGGTCTCCGTGTCCTGCAGGTGCATCAGGCTCATTTTCTTCATCTGAAGCCAAAACCATGTGCGTCGCACAAGGGCGTAGCAACACCATGACGATGAGCAGCCCTGATGCAGAGAGTGTTATTACCCATTCTCCTCGCATGCACCAAGCGACTTCCGTGGCGTAACCAAAAAGAAAAAAAATGATGTAAAGAGCCATGCTGACGAGCCTGTGCTCAGTTTTACTCTTTCTCGTAGGGCCCTACGATAAACGCGCAAAAGAGTATAATTTAAATGATATTTCCGCAGCAGTATGCCCTGTTGTCATGCGAAGACAGGAGCACTCTCAGCTTATATTATTGACCCCAACCGAGGAGTTCCAACCCACTTATTGTGCGGGCGCTGTCGTGCTTGCAGTCGCTTCTTCCACCACCTCCACCACGACGCCGGCCTGTCGGACGCGATGAAGCAGAACGTCGCCGAAGGCCGCCATGGGCGTCAATGCACCGGTACCCAGAGAACCTTCCTTGGCCCGTTGCAGTGCACTGAGAGCTGCTTCGACAATGTACATGCCGCTTGCCGTGTACGCGTCGCGCGTGTCGGAGAGTATGACCCGCCGCAGAGTCTTTCCGGACTTATCGACCGCGACAAAGACGCACTTATACCACGACAGTTCCCTCTGCGACTGTGTGGGGCCTGCTCCCACCGGTGGCAGCCAGTATTCAGCGATGTAGCGACGGAGGAACGGGACAGCAAGTACCGCCGCCGTCAGATACCTCGTGATAGTTGCAGCGGCAACAACTCCAAGTGTTCCCTCCTGTGCCTCCACGTAGGTGCCTCCGTAGCCAAGCAAGGCATTCGTGCGACGCACCACGCGCTCATTGGTGGCAGCCATCACAAACGGCCCCGTCAGCCTCTTCTCCGAAACATCGTACCACAAACCTCTCCGCGTGGGCGCTGTGACGGGGCGTGGAGCATCCGTCGGGAGCAGGCTGTATGGATCGCTGTCTTCCGGGCCGCACGCCTCACGAAGCGCAAAGACAGAGCGTGCCGTGCCGCCCGACATCCCGGCACCCGACAGCTGGTAAAACGCCCTTACTTCGCTCACCTGTGCACCAAGGCCTTGATGCACAACGTAGTTGCCCAGGTCCCCAGGGACGCTGTCAAATGCGCAACAGGACACCAGAGCAACACCCTGTTTCTTCGCTTCCTCGTTAAATCGTTCAATG